CCTCTTAAGTCTCCTTTTGGGCGTAGCCACCGCATTTTGCCACATGAGAGGCTGTCCGTAAGCAGAACCACTAGACGAAAGCTTTGCCTGGAGGAATGGGAACTAGGACCATTTCTGCCAGCCTGTAGCTCACCAGGTGTCATTGGGCCAGACCCGCCTACCTCGCAGGGTTGTTATGAAGATAAACATGGTGTGGGCAATCCTGCACAGTTCCTCAATTTCCTTGGAAGAAAGCAGAGATGTACACACCAATTTAATGAATGCATTTAAAAGCTTTTTGCTTTTGTGTGGATCTCCCCTGGGGTCTGGTGGGTGTGAAAATGCACAGGAGTCTCTGGATGTTAAAGGGAACGTAAAGAGATTTGACAAGGATTTGTACATGCCTCTTAAATAATGTACAGAAAGCATTCTGGCTTTCTGGCACTCAGAGCTGCTCTGAGAAGTGAAGGGGGCGTGTGAAAGTTAATTAACCTTGAAGTCAGTGGGGGCTGAAAAATGCAGAACTATTTAACGATGCTGAGAAAGGGCTCAGCACCTGCCCCAGTACTTCAAGCACCTTCCCCACATCTAGGAAAGAAAGCGAACTCTTGAGGAGCGGCCGTACTCGACCAGCTCCGAAGACCACCTGCTCCACACAGTCCATCTCTCCATGCCTTGCAAGCAGGTCGGGTGGCCATGTGTCCTCCTCTATGGAGGGCAGTTCTCTGTCTGAAGGCAAATACTATTTGAAGGGCCATCCAGTCCAAGAACCGTCAGAGGGAAAGGCTGAACTCTGAAGCCGCGTGCAGTAAGTAGCACCTGGACATCCAAAGAAGCGGAAGGCACTCAGCCCCGCTGGGCAGAGTTCTCAGCAGGAGGGTGAGATCTAAAGGATGGCCACGACCGTCTCCTTTGCAGCTCCAGTCCTATGAAGCAGCGTATGCACCTCCATGCCACTTTTATTCCCCCTTTTGGGCATGCATTTCCCCCAGTGGGGTAAGACCTCAGTGTAGCATTGCACACACGACTTTAATACCTTGCTTTTCAACACAAATAAAATCCTCCAAAAAGCACTTGCAAAAACTGTAACAGTGTTCTTTGCCATTTCTGCTAGAACCTGGCATTTACAGAAAGAGTGCCTTCGGATATGGAGGTTCCACTGAGGCAGTGCAAGCTATTCTGCTTAGGTCTGTTTCATCTCTTTTGAAAGTACTTTAGCACCCCTCGTAGGAGGAGACGCCAGAGCAGGGTAGAACGGGTTTTACGAATGGCATCCCACCAGCACCAAGCGTGGTATTAAATCATGCCGTTCTACTGCTGAAGCCGGAGGCATCCTTGCTTAAAATTAAGCCCCTTTCTCTAGGCGGACAGCACAGCCACGTGCTGGGGAACAGGGTGTTTACGGCCTACTTGTTGCTCTTAGACTCATAGAATCATAGAGCTACAAGTGGCCATGAAGGCCTTCGAGTCCAAGCCCTGCTGTTGCAGGACACCAAGTCACACCCTCCCACTCAGAGGGCTGCCCAGTTTCTTCTTGAATGCCTCCAGTGTGGGAGAGCCCCCCACCTCTCCAGGCAGCCGGTCCCACTGTCGTGTTGCTTTGACAGAGAGGAAGCTTTTCCTGATGTCCAGCCTGAACCTGGGTTGTGGCAGCTTGAACAGATTATTCCCTGCCCTGCACTCTGGCATCAGCGAGAAGAGAGCTTGACCTTCCTCTTGTGACAGCCTTCGGGGTACTTCTAGAGGGATACCATGTCCCCCCTCTGTCTTCTCTTCTCAAGGCTGCACATGCCCAGTTCTCTCAGTCTCTCCTCATAGGGCAGAGTTTCCAAACCCTGGACCATTTTTGTTGCCCTCCTCTGGGCCCTTTCTAATTTACCTGCATCTTTCTGAAATCTTGGTGCCCAGAACCGGACCCAGTCTTCCAGGTGAGTTCTGACTAGTGAAGAGCACAGAGGAGCTACTACTTCTTGTGATTTGGAAGCAAGAGGTGACTGACTGGCCACTGTGTGAATAAAACCCTGGGCTTAATCAACCCCTGGCCTGAACCAGAAGTTCTTCTTTGGTCCCTATCTGCCTCCCAAATCCTGCTTTCCTTCCACGACCAGGGCCAGAAATACAGAAACACAGAAACAGAGCAAGTCAGAAGGAGCCTCCCGGGCCATCTAGTCTGACCTCTGGCACCAGCCGGCTCCGCTCACGACATGCCCACCATGTGGACGTCCAGCCTATCCTTGAACACCGATGGGGCCTCAACGACCTAGAAGCCTTCGTATGTATGTATTTATTAGATTTATATCTTGCCTTTCTTCCTTAAAAGCACTCCAAGGTAAGCAAGGTGTTAAGCCTTTGAATGCACTGTCCTAGCAGCACAGAGCCGCCTGCACAGAATCAGCAACGTTCAACAAGAAAAGGTGAAGTTGCCCTTCAGCCGTAATGAGGTTACAGTGCAGAAGGGTTGGTTTGTTTTTTAAGTCACGCCAACTTGTTCCTCAGAATGAGATGCTCGGAACAAACTGGAGACATGTAAGGCGATTCGAAGCTGTATTGTTCAGCAGGTGTTTACCTACCTGTGTTTTCACAGCAGCCGTTAGTCAATGCCAGAATTAGATTTTACACGGATCTTCCCGCGAGGGCTTAAGATGTACGAAGTCCCTCCATCTCCTTCCTCCTTGTGAGCAGCTCACGGCAGCTTACGTAGTTCCATTTTATCCTCGCAATAACCCCCCGACGGGTCGGTCGGACCGAGTGTGAATGACAGGCCCGAAGTCACCTGGGAAGCTCCATGGCAGGGCGGGGACGAGAACCCGGACCTCCCGTGTCCCAGTGCCGCTCCCACACCAGGGCGCCCCTTGGGCCCTCCTCCTGGAGACGACAGCTGGCCAAAAGGCAGCTACTTCCCTTCAGCATCACGGCGGCCTTGCCAACTCCAGACTGGAGCAGGGGGACCTGTGGGACTCCGGATGTATTGGTCCACACAACTCTCACCAGCTGCGGCCAACATGGGAGTGACGATGGGATGCGCTGGCCCAAACAGTGGAAGGGTTATCCCTGCTCGAAACAAAGTAACTGGGGGGGATGAGAGTATTGTAACTGCTAAAAACCGTTGTGGCCGTCCGAGCCTTGGCCACTCCATGGATCTTGCTCTCCGTGCCTGTTTCACGCCGCTTCATTCAGGACGGCCACGGCCTCCCCGTGTTTCTCTTTATGGTGTCCAGCCAACGGGTGCTGGGGCGCCCCAGCATGACTGACTTTTGAGTGAGCGGCTCCCAAGTCAGTCTCTGTCTGGCGCTCTTGGCTTCACGTGATACTTCTGGCGAGGCTCCGTCTAGGACCCGTTTGCGATTTTCGCAGACCCTGCTCTTCTTTCAGGAGGGTTTGCACCAGAAATACCAAAACGTAGACCTACCCTGTGCAGGTGATAAACTGTCAGACAGAAACGAGAGTTTGCCAAACCTTGCTCTGCTCTGCAGATCACTGGCTCATCTTCTGCACTCAAGCCTACCTTGCAGGATTGGTGTCTGCAGGCAGGCAGGCAAGCAGGCAAAAAGCGGGACGAACCTGCAGGCCCTGTTCCTTCCGTCCTTCCCCAAACTTGGTGCCAGTCAGAACTGCTTGAGAGCAACTCTCACCATCGTTATCAGATGGCAGGATGCACGGAACCCCTTCAGCTTCCACTTCAAAAACCAGTTTGGGTCCTTGCCTTTTTCTTTCTGCTCAACTTCATACTACAAATTTATCAAAAGACACAGGATGAAAACTCCTGCCAAGAAATTGTTGTGTGCACAAAACGCCAGTTAGCGAAGCCAGAAAGCAGAGGGGGTTTCATGAAGCAACAAACGATTTAATTCTTTAATGCCCACAACCATTTGTTCCAATTAGCTCAAAGGCCTCGGAGCTTCTGCAGCTGATCGTGCCGGGATGAGCACCCCTCAAGTTCCGATGGACCAGACCTGCTGCCCGCCCCACCCACCCCAAAGGTAGCCCACCCGGTCAGGAAGGGCTCTGAACTCCCGCTGACCTCGCAGAGAAACCTTCCCAACTAGGCGACGTGAGGAAAGAGGCTGCGAAACAATTTGGCTTCCAGTGTAGTGAACACCCGTTGCTTCCACCCCATTATGTTGAACGTGCAGTGCCATAAATATTCTATTTGGGAGGAAGGGAGCAGATGATGTCAAGGATCCCTGGGTGCAAGGTCAAGGCAGGGACCACCATGAAATATGCAGTACCCCCTGCGAAGGCTGTGCGGAAGGAGAGCGGTGAACGCTCATCAGAAGTGACGCACCGAGTCCCTCGGCAGAAGAGGCGCTAGGCGTGGCCCAGAGACTTCGGCTGCACTCACGGAAGCTGCACTGAGCCACCGGGCACGCAACAGTGCAGGCCGGCATGGGGGGGCAGTGCGAGTGCGCTCACTAGGCCGCAGCACCCCACAAGCCGCCCTGCGGGACCAGGCCGGCGTGCCGCCCAGTCCGGCGCTCCATTCAGCGACAAGGCAGCTACCCACGGGATCTCCCCAGCAGGATGCGGGCAAGCTGCCCGAGCTCTTTGGCAAGTGGCGTGTGCAGGCAAGCCCCCTCTGGTAAAGAGCAAGCACGTGGCTAGCAAAACCAGTGGCCACCGAGCCACACGGCTAGTAGCCACGAATTCAACAAGCCCCCTTTTGAAGCCATCCAAACGAATGGCCATCACTATGGTACATTCCACAGTTTAATGCTAAGCTGTGTGAGGAAGTCCATTTGATCTGTCCTGAATTTCCTCCCAGTCAGCTTCGTGAGATGACCCCGGGTTCAAGTGTTATGGGGAGGGAGAAAAATGCCTCCTTACCCACTCTCCCCCCTCCATGCATAGCTTGAAACACGTGCTGTGTCTCTCCCCACTCCCCACCCCACCACCCTGAGCTAAGTGATCCCAGTTCCTGCATTAACCACAAAGGTCACAGCAAAGTATCTCCATTACTGTGGCAGCAAACCAAAACGGAGGCACCAATGTCAGGAAGAATGCAACTTTTTCTCTAAAAAAAATACGTAGGAAAAGTGCTTCTTTAATTTTCTTAAGTTCCATTCACACCATCTGGAGCAGGTTGGGTCCCCACAGGGAGAAGTTGCTATTTCTGTTCTGACGTGCCTATTCCTAAATCAGCGGAAAGAGAAAAAGAGACTCTTTCACACCGGCAACCACAGGTGAGTCCAGAAGGCCATCAAGGCATGAGGGGAAAGACATGGCCGTGGCATTTCTGTTCCTTCAGATGAACGTGTGAATTCAGTCAGGAGCAAGATGATTCTTCCACAGCAGGATTCAGGCATTGCGTTCTTCGGGAGGTATATACTCCAGACCTAAATGCTGGAAAATTTCTTCCTCAGAGGCAGCCGGCAGAAATATTTTCTGAAAAGTATTGAATGCACACACAAAAAGTACAAATTGTATTTGCTTCACTGAAGTTACTTGTTCATATCCTGCCTCCCCCCTTGGGACAGAACTCTGCAGACTCCCTTCCTCAAAACAAAAGAGGCACAGAAAGTTAAGCATCAAGGTAATTCACATTCATACAACGCTGCATAAATTATGCAGCTTTAAAGAGGGCAAACAAGCCTGCTTATGGTGCATAATTTATTCTGCTTATGCCTTAGGTATGCAGAACACATAGCCGAGGGAGGGGGCAGGTAGATTTAGTTTCTGCTCTTGACTGGGAGGGGCAAGGACACCCCCGTCCCCTTCACAACTAAATGCTTCCCCTCTCATCAGCTTCTGGAAATGGGCACAGTATCCCAAGCTACTTTAGCAGCCTTTCAAAAAAAAAAAAAAACCTGGCCTTACAAAACCAAACAAAAAACGCTAAATTCTAAGGTAGATCCCTACCTCTGGCACAACTCCAGGGACTGGATCAAAGGAGGATCACACAATGAATGTGGCTTCCCAAATGGGGTGGACTTTGCTTTGGAGGTCGGATAACTCAAAGGGATAAGAATCGGGGCACATCCACATCAGAGCTTCCCCTGCTCTCCAGCTGGGCCTCAGCACCAGGGAGCTCAAAGCAAACAGTGCTATGGGGAACCAGCTGAGGTTGCTGCAGCTGTGAGGAATACTAGAAGCACCATTAGCACCGTGATGCTTGCAGGGAGAAGCAGCTTCTTCCAAGGTGTGCCAAGCTCAAAGCCGCAAGCCTTCCTCCTCCTTATTCTTCCTCCTCCTCAGCCACTTACCTGCTCCATGTGATACAGAGCATGGCTGTTGAGAGCCATCTTCTTCTCTTGCCTGGCAAAGCGTCTCAGGTCCCGTTCAAAATTCTGGGAGGCAGTGAGAGAGAGAGAAGAGCATCTATAGGTGGCTTCTCCCAAAGGGTGCCCACAAAAAGGAACAAGCAATTTCAGAAAGATGCAGACAAGCTGGAGAGGGTTCAGAGGAAGGCATCAAGGATGATCCAGGACTGGAAAAGTCCTGCGGGGAGAGATGGAAAGAACTGGGCATGTTTAGCTTCGAGAAGAGAAGACTGAAGGGAGAGATGATTCACTGCAAGTACTTGAAGGGCTGCCACAAAGAGAAAGGCCAGGATCTTTTCTCGACCATCCCAGGGTTCAGGACGTGGAATAACGGGCTTGAGTAGCAGGAAGCCTGGTTCCAGCTCGAGATCAGGAAACATTTCCCGATGCTTACGGAGCAGTAGGGCAACAAAGCCCCTGAGTTAGGGAGGCGGTGGGCTCTCCCACACTGGGGGCAGTCAGGGTGCAGCTGGACGGCCAAAGGAGGGATGCTTGAACTTGGGGTCCTGCACTGAGCACGGGGTTGGATCCATCGGCTCCCTGACTCCTTCCAGCTCTTCCATTGTAATTAGTAAGCTGCAGGAATCGGTGAGCAGCCATTTACAAAAGGGTTTGCCTACAGCCTCTCTGAAAGATTAACTGCCCGTGGTTCGGTTACAAAGTGCAACAGGACAGCAAGGTCCGTTTCCATGCAGAAAAGCAGCTGGAGCCAGCAAAGTGTCAGATGCTTGAAGCGGGGGCAGGCGACCGACCCGCCCAGCCTTGCTGCAGCTCTCCACGCTCTCAGCCCTTCTTTGGGGAGCCTGCTGGAAGTTAGAGACGCACGGCCCACGCCGGCACCCCACTCACTCGCACTCACCGAGCCTCTTTCCTCCACTTGACACCCTCCAAGCAACGAACTGAACTGAGATCAACTCCACGAGCACAGCAGCCGCTCCTTTGCACAGAGCACGTCATTCTTTGTGCAAACCATGCGCAGACGCAATTCCCCAGGTGGCGTGTGCAAAGCCCACAAGTCCTGTGTGCAGAGACTCTGCTTGAACCCGCTTCCTGCCGGACGCCCAGGCAAATGTTCAGTGCGAGGCGGACTCAGAGAGCAGGGAAAGCGGGCCGGTGCCTGGAGAGCTGATCCGAGGAAATGCAACCAATTCCACCCCACTCCAGTTTCCTCACACTTCTCATTCTACCTTGAGCACTCAGGTGGAAACATTTCTAGACTTAGCAAGATGCCAACCAGAAAAATTGGTACGTGACCAACGGCCAGCAGGATGATGCTATTTTTTTAGAAGTGCTTTCCAAAACTCACAGGGCCTTCCCAAAACAGCTGCATTTAACCTGAGATCCTGCGCGCTAGGGAGGGCGCACAAGGGACTCCGTGCAATTACTTAAGAGCACGTGGCTTCCGGAGGCCGTGGGTCACCCCAGAACTAACCTGGGAACCTCACAGCAAATGGGGTGCATGCATAAGCAACCCACGATGGCCAGTTTGTTCCCGTTTCCTTAACTTTAGTGCCTCAATAAGATTTTCTGGCACCTTCCCAGCGCTTAGTACCTGCTTCACACCAAGTAAAAACAATGCCCATGAAATCCATTTCAGTTCCAGGTCGTAAGAGAACAAAATTTGGAAAAGTGAAAGGGCGGGGAAAAATTCTGCAGGGCACCATATTAGTACAGGATTAGGAAATGGAGCATTAAGTGCTGAATTATAGCCTCTCCCAGGTTTAGAAAGATTTAAATGGGAGCCTTTTTGAACACTGAATAAAGAACACAAATTCCCAAGACGATACTAGAGGAACTCACCCTAGAGCCGGTCCAACCCAGCAAAGCAAATGGAAACTGACTGTAGGGGCTGATGACCAAGTCCACCCTCACAGCCTTCCTGGAACTGGATGCTCCAGGCTTCTGAGCCCCGGCATCCCCTCGGGGGCCCCCAGGACGGTCGGCAAGGCGGAAAATGGAGAAACATTGCTCAAAACGGTCCATTGAACCCGCACTGCCACTGGCCTCTTGAACTTCCATCTTGAAGGGCTGGAAAGTGTTCCTGCAGCTGTTCTGGTACAACAAGAAGCCCTAGGAAGGAACGGGAGAGGGAGGACATGCGCCTGGCTGGTAACAGCATCCGCGATAGCACATCAAAGGGCTCTCCAACTACTGGCCGACTGAGGCACATCAATCCTAACACTCAAAAGCCTTCAGGGGTGCAGGAGCACGCAGGAGGAAAAATGATCTGCAGCACTGAAGCTCACGCCCTGCGATCTGCAGAAGCTGCATGCTGGACCGCAGGCACTCTTGCAGAGTCGCAACAGGCGGCCTCTTCCAAGGGCAAGGCAGCAGAATCAGGAGTGGGAGAAGCCAAAGTGGAACCTAACTCAAGTCATCCTCAGAGCTGTAGAACACTCCAAGTTCTTTGTGCCACATTTTCTCAGTAATTCATACTGTCCTTTAATATAACCAAATGCTCTGCTGCTTTTCTAGAAATTCCGGCCTGAACCCGAGTTTGCTCCTACCTGGCTATGCAGCCAGCTGATGATTTTGCTCAGCAGTCCCTCTTCTCGGCTCTCTACCGGGTGTGTGATGAGCAGGTCCACGTCATGTCCACTCCGCTTCCCCCTGTGGTAAAAGATGTGGCGGCAACACCAATCACAGGAAACAGAGAAGGCAAGCAAGGGTCACGCAGAGGACACACAAACCCGCACCAGAAGCAGCTTGGTCCCGGCTGCATCGCCATACTCCAATAATTCCCGGTTAAGGCACTGGTTTTCCACCGACTGGGACGGCAGGAAGGGAGAACCCATCCTGGTTTGCAAGCTCAAGATGTGCGAGCCCATCTGGGTGGCTTGTAACCAGGTCTGTGCGACCCATGGGGCTGTTGTGCGAGCCAAACCTGCCACACACCCCACTGCAAACACGAGCTTCTGGAGGAACTGCAGGGAGAGCTGAAAGGAGGGTGGGTGCCCACAAGCGCCCACTGAATGCTTAAAGCTGGGAGAATCGTACAATTAAGGGGGAGATGTTATCCCACTAATCTGGGTGCAGTTATTCCTTCATTATACCCCACCCATTTTCAGTGCTTCTGATTTCTGCCAGCAGGTCCTTCTTTTCTCTTGATGTTATTTCCACTCCAGGCCTTCAGATGGATCAGCCAATGGGCAAAAAGTTTGTAACCAATATGCATATGCAACAAGGGCTCGCTTGCAAAAGAACATATTAAAAGACAAACTTATTTTCCTCTTATTTTCCCAATTGCAATTTTTGGGACACTGATAAATAAAGTTGAAGAAGCTGGGAAAAAGTCGGAGTCTCTCCAACTGTTAGTTTGGGGTCAGTGGAAGGAAAGTCACTGGCAAGATAGTGAAGCGCGGGTGGCCCGGCCTCCTTGCCGTTCCTGGCAACTCACGATGAATTTGCCCGCGGAGACTGGGCAACAGAACAAGGGCTCAGCAGCCCTGAAACAAGGTGGCTTATTCGCGGGAAAAGCCAGCCTCCCTGCAGAAAAAGCACCAGGTTCAGAAGACACGGGGCGCCATCTCCCCAAAAAAATCTAGTGCTTCCTTTGCTAGATTCCGAGGCCCTTCCCAGGGAAACTCCCGGGGTGCCTTATGCAAGAACGGCCAAGCAGGTTCTGTCTTAGAATAGCTTAGAGACAGAGCGCCACGTTTTCTTCCACCTTTCTGGGAGGAAAAGATGCTCCTGAGGATGGCAGAAGGTGCCAGTGGTCCATGTGGGGAGCAGGATCCATACCACACTCGCCAAGAATCTCACCTCAAGCAGCTCACCTTCTAAAGCCGCCCGTCAGCGTTACAGAGGTGCCGGGCAGGTAGCGCTCGGCCACCTCGCGCACCAGCTGGCTAATGGCCTCTGCTTCGGGCCGCTCCACTGGGGTACTGAGGTCTGTGTAATGAAGGAGGCCTGAGGAGGAAGATGAGCCCATTACCAGGAGGCAACAGATCGGCCCTTCCGCAGGAGCGGAAATGGGAGATGCTGGGAAGAAACAGTATAAGCAGGCAAGGGCCCGTGCCTGGAAGGCCCTGCCTCTCCAGCGAGGGCTGCGGGAACCCACAATCCGGGAAAGCCCAAGCCAGGTAGCACAGAGCGGGAGGGGGGACCTCCTTCAGCCCAAGGGCTGCACTCAACTGCCGAGCTGCTCGGGGGTCACAACCAGTGGCGCGGAAGGCAAAGAGCCTGGGGCCAACATGCATGGAGCACCAGCCTGTCACAGCTTAAAGGGCTATTCAAATCTAAGGATAGCTGAGTAAAGCTCTGGCGGCAAGTCTTAACGTCTTAGGAGGCAAATAAATCTCAACTACCTAGAATGGAGGGAAAATCCCACACGCCACCGGAAAGCACCAAGAGGCTGGCGGTTCGGGGAGGGTTGGGGCCAGTAGAATGACATGCGGGCAACCCCAGAGGCCTGTGATGCGATCTCCGGACGGCTCAAGAGCTCCGACCCCCGGGGTGGAAGCTACCAAGAAAGATGGTTTGACTTGGTCTGGGTTTTTAAAAGGGAGCTGTGGGGAAGGCACCGAACCAGGTATCCAGGCACCGACGGTGCACTATTTGGCTGGCCGAGCCTCCGAGGCCCCATGAAGCAAGGGGGAAACTCTCTGGACTGCCCGTCTCCTCAGCCCTCTTCCCACTCCGATGCCTCCGCAGCCCTGTCCCCACTCAGGGTCCTCCAAGGAAGACTCACCGGCCTGCTGCTCTCTGCTCAGTTTTGTGCAACGCATCTGGAGGTCCTGGAGTGTCCTCAGCCCTTCTTGATACCACTGGCTGGCCGTCTTCACCCCGACCCCAAACATCTTCGTGAAAAGCTGCAGAGCAAAAGCACCATTCATTGCAACGTTGCCTCCACTTGGGGGGCAGTGGGACTGCAAAAGCCAGTGACACGGATGGTGAGCAGCAAAGCTAGCCAAGAAGTAGCCAAGCAGCATCAAATGGGGTCTGAAGACCAATTAATCCCCCCCCGCCCACCACCCTGGTACCAGAGCAACAGCTGGAGAAGCCTCCTGGGAGAGGGTATTTCATCACGCTGGTGCCATCCTCGAAAAGGCCCTGCTCCTGACAAGCTCTTGCTGAAGGCCAAGCACTAAGGCATCCAGGGCACAACCTGGATGTTGTCCTTGGATATATTTGGGAGAAATTGGTGGGGGATCAAGAGAGGGCCTTCTTTTTTCCCTTGCAGTACTTCAATTACATTTTTAATTTGTTTTTATTTTCATTGTATCTGTTGGACTTCTACTACTATCCGCAACCTGGAATGCCTTTTCTTTTTTTGCAGGATACAATTTCCAGGGCAACACCTGCTGGTTGGAGACATTTGATTCCCTTTGCTTTGGTTTTGCATCTTTTTCTGGGTTTGCAAGACGGGGCTTGGATGCCATAAACTATGCTTGGTGTGAAAGTCCCACGCTGGCTACTATTGCTGTGGCTTCTAAGATTTCACCATGCTCTTTCACACATGACTTGACAGGCTTAAGGCCTAGAAACGTGGTTTAAAGGCATAAAAATTAGTGAAAGCTAGGACTCCGCGGGCATGAGTGTCTCTTAGTACGCTCGTGGCTAGTACAGAATGTTGATCTGAGATTTCCTCAAGAGGCCTGGCTAAATGCCAGTACCACCTCCCATACCTAGCCCCATCTGTCAGGATATGGATCGGCCCCTCCAAAAACAATGATCACACCTTCATAGTCTGGTATCTGTCAGACTGCCGAATTCTCTCCACCTCTGCAGACGTGCCGTCTTCCAGGACCTCCTGCTTGGGGCACACGAACAGACAATAAAAACAAAAGGTCTGAGACTGTTCGGTTAGTTTCAAGGCACTAGAGACAAAAAAGAACAAAAAATAAATTTGTTGTGAACAAAAACGATACGATCAGAATGAACTGAACTGATTCAGAATGCTTAAAAGCTACAAACTCAGGTCCCGAAAGAGAAGCGGGTTAGGGTGGCAGCAGCCCAACACAACATGAAGGGGGTCAGGGATGATGGGAGCTGTAGTCCATGACATCTGGAAGATACCAGGTTTGGGGATGGGTGGGAGAAGAGCAATATAGTCTTTTGCCCACAAGCCTGAAGGCAGAACCCATGCACTTCTTCTTTTAGAAATAGGGTTTGCAATGTATTTTCTGTGAACTGCAGCTCTGGTATGAGGAGGACATTTTTTTAAAAGGCAAACTCTTGAAGGAGCCAAAGGTAGCATGTTGAGAAGATGGGCATTGGCTTAAAATAGATCACACAGAAAACTGTACACTGTTTTGGAAACACAGAAAGCTCCTTTCTTCTAAACAGCCCATTTGTTCTTGCAAACCTATTAAGGGAGAGTCGCTTCTCCAAGTTTGCAAACAGGGATCTTTCCTACCTCTCTCTGGAGATACTGCGGATTACATTTGCAGCCTCCTGCAGGCACACAAAGCAGCCGCTCTTCTACTGACCTGCAGCTCCTCTCCAAGTACTTCTCCACAATACCTCCAAGCACTACGTTTCTAGTCCTTATTAAAATGAAAGGCAAGATTCTCAGAGAGCTGCAAGGCTCCACCAAGACAGTGGTACCTTGGGTCACAAACTTAATCCGTTCCAGGATTCTGATCATGACCCAAAATGGTCGTGAGCCAAGTTAAATTTCCCCATAAGTTTTAGTGTAAATACAGTTAATTCATTCTGCAACTTTTTTTTTAATCAGAAAAATGTGAAGCAAAGTGACAAAGAACAACAAAGATTGTGGCCATTCTCCCCCCCACCGAGCAGGAGCGCGGCCATCTCCCCACCCCCCTCCACCCAGCACAACCCAGATTGCACCCGTCATCCCTGCATGCGCCCGTCATCCTGGCACACTGCGGGGGGAAAGACGGGCGCAAAGATGGGTGCGCTCGGGGGGGGAGATGGGTGCGATCGCGGTTGCACTCATGCAGGAAAGACGAGCACGATCTTGGTCATCTCCCCCCCTCCCCTCCCCTCCCCACCCCCAGCATGATTGCAGCCATCTCCCCAATGCGGAGTTCGCGACCTGAATCAAAATTTTTATGACAGTTTTGTTCGCGACCCGATTTGGTCGTGAACTGAGGCGTTTGTGAGCCGAGGCACCACTGCGTATTTTCTCCAGCATGTTTGTGGAATCATGGCCTAGACATAACCCTACACGTGGGCCACTGTGCAGCCAACTTTTCCCCCTGTGCCTCTACTGCCAAACTCAGCAAGCAAATCGCTTGCAGAAAGCAATGCCGGGGCAGAGCCCAGACTCGTGGAGAAGAGCACTGGCTCACCTGGAGGATTCTCTTGCAATGCACCCCGAGGCCGGGAAGGGCGCTCAGCTCCGACACGCTCCGGACAGTGCAGGTCAAGGACTTCAGCACCGTGGCAGCCCTGGAGAACGCCAGGCTGCGCCCCTCGTTGCCACAGAAGTAAGCCTCCTCCGCCACCGTTTCCAGAGCTTCCTGACGAAGGAAAAGGCACCAAGACCCTCCCTGTAAGGGCTCTCTGGCATCCAGAAGACTGTTCCTGCTATCTGCGTCCAGCGGAGGTCATCCCTCCATTTCCTGCACCAAGATCTCTCTGCGAGTGCAACACACCTCAGGAAGGTGTCACCATGACAGACCGGCTTGGCTCACAAAGAGAAGTCCTAAGAGGTTTCCCAGCCGCGTCTTTTCTTTTCCCTTTTCCACCAGCCTTGCTCCGGTGCCTCCAACAGCACCCGGCCCTTCAAATATTGAGCCAAAGACGTTTCTCCTACCACTCGCTCACCTGATATAGAACGGACATTCTACCTCCCTTGGTCAACTCAGTCCAGTTTGCAAGAAATTACAGAAAAACTACCAATACCACACCAGCAGAAGCTGAGTAATAACTCCCGAGGGGGCACAAGACAGGACCAGCCAGGTGAGTTCGCACAGCAATGAGCAGAGTGGTACCACCGTCTTCCTCAAACAGCTGGAGATGCTGGGCTGGCCTGTTCGTGCCAACAGGGCTCGTGCAAGAGAACTTCCTAGCAGACGTCCCTGTTCCAAAATAATCGAGGTGGGGCACCGCTTCAGCCTTCCGCCGTGGACTCCCAAATTCCTTGGGGCACCCAGCCAACCTTCTGCCATCCTGGCCCTCTTGCTTTTTTCTTCTTTCCCCACCGCTCAGCTCAGTCTACCCTCTACTAGAGCACAAGGAATGCCAAATTACCGTGAGCATTGGATTTCTGTGCGCAAGCGGAGAGCGGCGCTGGCAGGCATAGGGTGCCACCTGGGCCTTGTCCTTCTGCTTCTCCGCACGAGCAGTCACCTGAACAAAACCGAAGACAAGGACACGGGCTCCGCGTCAGAACAAACCCGTTCAGGCACGAAGCCGGCCCCCAGCAGGCCCCCTCTCGGTTGCGCCCGAGCAGCAGCGGCACGGCAGAAAGCCACACAGACTGCTGCAGCGTGCTCGAGGTGGGGTGCCCCTGAAGACGGTCCGGATGCTGCAGCTGGTCCAGAAGGGAGAGGGCAGGCGCTAACGGGGACCGGCTGGTTTTCACATATAACGCCGGTCCTCTATCGCTTACACCGGCTGCCAACTGAAGTCTGGGCCCAACTTCAGGTATTGGTGATGACCTATAAAGCCCTCAATGGCCTGGGTCCAGGATACCTGAAATAGCGCCTTCTCCCCTATGTGCCTGCCCACCCCTTGAGATCCGAGGCAGAGGCCCTCCTCCGGGGGCCCTCCTTGAAAGAGATCAGGAGGGTGACTACCCAGAGGAGGGCCTTCTCTGTGGTGGCACCCCAATTGTGGAATGCACTCCCCAAAGAGGTTTGTCTGGTGCCATCACGTTATTCTTTTTGGCACCAGGCTAAAACCTTTTTATTCTCTCAGTATTTTAATTAACCTGTTTTAATTGGTGGTTTTGTTCTTGATATTGGATGCTGCGCCACTCTTATTTCTTTTTTTTATTCTATTTTATTAATAGTGTTGCAAACCGCCCCGAGCGTTTGTAATGGGACGGTACAGAACAGTGTAAAATCAATTAAATATGTAATCAAATGGAGATGCTCACCTGCAGGCAGTGCCTGGGCTCCACCTTCACTGGCCAGCCCGCACTCATGGCCTCAGTGAACCAGCTGAGATCGAGGAGGGCTGGTTCCTTCCCCGGCGCGTCCAGGCAGCCCCTCCCCTTCTTTCTCAGCCATTCGACCACCTCGTCGCCAGAGTTCCCCTCCGATACCACATGGGTCACTCTCGCACTGGGGGAGGCAAAAGGGCCCCACAACAGAGAGGTGCAAGGTGATGCAGCCACACTCCAAGCAACCCAATAAAACAAACAGAGCTTTGCTTTTTGAGAAAACGGAAAGCAGGCGAAGCGCTAGCCGGGCACGAGCAGAAATAATTCATTGCTCAAAGCGGGAAGGAAAGAAAACACTCCCTTGAATTAACATGGGGCAGAATCTGGTGGGAAAGGCCCGAGCATATTACTATTCCGTTTCCATACTGCCCCACAGCTGAACTGTATCCCTTAGGAGCCCCACTGCAGGGGAGCCCAGCACCTGCGTACCTGTGGGCCTCCTCCACGCAGAAGCCCTTGCTGCGGGCCAGAGAGGCGAGGAAGGACCGGCGGCTCGCGCCCATCCGCTTCTCCACCAGGCAGAGCACCACCTCCGGGAAGCGCACGGGCTGCTCCGGGGCGGGGGCCGGGATGGGGTCCCGGGGACGAGGGCGCTTCCTTTTCACAGGCAGCGGCTCCATCAGGGCGGGCGGGCCGGCGGGCGGGAGGCCCTTCTTCGCAAGGCTACCCAATAAAATGCGCGATCGGGACAAGAGCGCCGCAGCGGCCTGCAGAAATGCAGTGAAGAAGAGGGATCACTTCACGGAGACTGCTACACCTTCCCCTCCGAAAGGGAAGGAAAAAAGGATTGTAACTCTCTCGTGCCTCAAGCTTCAGCCTGGTACTTAAAGGCAGAGTTTTTCCCCGTAGCGCTGTGGCAGACGAAAACTTCTTCAGTACCGTAATTAATGAGGCCCAGGAGCGCGATCAAAGCTCACACACTTCCGTTAAAAGCCGGAGCCATGGAGCTCCTTGCAAGAGGCCCCGCGATTGCCCCAGAGCACCCCACGCCTCTTTACCTGGGAGTAAAAGCATCAGGCCGCCGCGAGCGAGAAGCAGCCCCCTGTGCAAGGCGCCCGCAGGACGAGACGGCCCGATCCAGCAGGCCTCTTCTTGCGTTCTTACCCGCGCAACATCTACTCTCCGGAGCGCGCACCGAACCCGCTGCACGTAGGAGCCCCAGCGGGGGGAGGCTTTACGGAAATACATTCCTCCCCGGGGCGGAGCTCCCGGCCGAGCCCCCCCCCCCGCCCGCCAGTTGCAGAAGTGAAAGTGGTCTGCCGGCAGGTTCTGCAAAAATGGGCGCGGGGGGCGGGGTCTCGCCCGAGGCGTTTCCACTTTCGCGCGGCCAGGCGGCCTCGCTATCCGCGGGTGGGCAGCGCCCCGGAGCGAGCAGGTGGAGTTTGCAAGGGCATCATATGACACACGGAAAGTTGAACTTCCTGAGAGTCTGCACGGCTTCCTCCCCGGAGCTGCAAGCCGCTGGTGGCCGCGCTGAGCGGCTGGCCGAGGGGGAGTGGCGGCGGCGGCGGCGGCTCGGAGGCTTCCCATGGGGGGCTCCCGGCACCCCAGGGCCCTCTGGTGGGCTCTGCTCGTGCTGCTGGCCGAGGGGCGAGCGGACGCCGCGGCGGGCGGCAGGGGCAGGAGCAACATAATCCTGATCCTGGCGGACGACCAGGACGTGGCGCTCGGGGGCATGGTAAGCGGGGTGCGGGCAGCCGGGGCGCTCTGCTGTGGGGCGGGACCCCGTGTCTCTTACGCCGCGCCTCACCCTCAGCCCCACCGCGTGCTTTGCAACCACTCCTCGGATCCAGATGGCAGCGCTGCAAAACCGTTTGAAACAAGCCCCCCCCCCCCCCCCCCCCACCCCCCCCCCCCGGGTTGAGGCCCCGTCTGGGATTCTGAGCGCCGCGCGGAAAAACCGTTTGAAACAACCCCCCCCCCCCCGCCCAGGCAGCTCTACCTCTGTGAGTAGGTGCTGTTTGGCAGTTTGCGCTCCGAGGAGAAAATGGAGTTTTCTCCCTGGGTGATCGGGGGTGGGGGGCTGAGCCCCTGGATTTTGGCGCCGAGTCCACCCCTGGCTGCACGCCACTCGCAACACGGTGAATCGCAGAAGTGCTGTTAAGGGTTGCCATATTCGTGGGGGCAGCGAGACAGACGTGGCGGCGCAGAGCAAGCGCTAGGCGCCACCCTGCAGCGCGCGTTGCGCGGGAGGACTTCGGGCTGAGGGGTCTAAAGGTGACAGCAGCGCGATGCAGCTGCGCCGGGAGCGTGGCTTCCTCGCCCCAAGGACTGGAGGATGTAACTTCGCAGCAGAGCAAAGGACACGTCGGCTGCGATCCAGTCATGCCCACGTGCCGGGGAGTGCCTCTCACCCAACTCGGTGGGATTTTCCTTTAAGTGGAAATGCAGATAATTAAAGAATTACATCCTACAGGAATTCAAGCCAGGATGGTTGCACAAGGGGGCTGGAAATGGTGGCTTCTCAGCTTCTGTGGTGAAAGAATAAGGGTGAAATTGGGGGAATCTGCCCTTCTGGGAGGACACTGAACTGTGGAGATAAGGCAGCTTGTCCAAAATGGTTCCAGACATGTGCTGTAAAGATCTGTGGGTTAATTAACCCAGGGTGGCTGAGCATTAGTTGGGTAGAAGGTGGACAGTGTTCCATGCAATATGCAAAAAATCATGGAAGGTGTTTGGCTCCCTGCTGTTTGACTACTCCAGCCACAAAATGGCATCGTCCCCCCTCACCAAATTATATTGCTGAAATGAAGAAAGCTTGGGGTGGCCAAGGCTGGGCTTTTGTGCTGAGCCCTGATTGGTATCGCTGCCCAGAATTCTTTAAACCTGAGACGTTTCACAACAGGACGTTGTCAGTGGCTTGTTGGGGTTCTAGGGAGAAACCCCCAAAGTAGATTCTGCAAGACTGAAGTCTGCCTGCCCCTGAGCTAAAGGGTTGGTTAACCTTGGGTCCAGAATACTTATTTATTCATTTATTCCATTCCTGTGTCACCCCATAACCTAAGGGTTCTTTGTGTCAAGAGTGCCCAATCCGGGGACTGTCACTGACCCGCAGAGAGAACCGTAGTCCCATAAGGTGACGCACCAAAGGCACTTGCATAAGGAGACCAGGGTGCCTTCTGATCTCTGCAGAAGGGGAAGGATCGGCTTGCCTTGGCGGCAGCACGGGGGCAGAACAAATAAATGAGGAACTGTTTCCCGCTATAGTAAGTGTTGCTGCAAGCACCCCACGAGATTCTGAGGTATGGGTCAAGCAAATTTCGTGTGCAAAGTTTACTGGATCACACTGACCTCAGAATGGCCTGAGGTCATTTCAATATTCTGCTGGTATTTCCCAACCGGAACAGCTGCTTCCCTCCACGCCTCCATTCCCAGAACATTTAGGTTTCTTTCAGCTTCAGTGCATGCCCGATATATTGAAGACTTCCCGCTGACTTGCCCTGATGGTCTTCTCCACACACAGGAAGGATGCATGGAAGGAGCAGGTTCAGCCTATAAAAGCTCGGCTTTCTTCTTGCGCTTGTTCTTTTTGGCATCTCCCTCATCTGCTTATTATTTGTGACATGGCTTCTTACGTGAAACTTGCAAAGCAATTTAAATTTTCAGAAATAGCATCAACAGCAGTCACAAGCACAAGACAGACTGGAAACCTACAAGGGTGGGCAGGCAGAATAAGCAAGGCCCCTCTCTAAGCAGCTCTGTTGGGACATTTGGGGATGGGGGTCAGGAGACCCCACCTCAGCTGAACCAGCAAGGCCTAGAAGTACTAACTGGCAGCTCCGTTGATTTATTATATTAATTAAAAGCTTTTCTAACCCATCCACTACAAACACCTCAGGACAAATTACAATTTTTATTTATAATATTTACAGCTCACCTTTTTCCTGCAGTGAACCTAAGTTAGCTTGCATGCCCCATTCCCCATTTCTTTTATCCTTACAACAACCCTGTGAGGTAGGTTGGCCCAAAGTCAGCGGTTGGCCCAAAGTCTCCCAGAGAGCATCGTGGCTGAGTGGGAACCAGCACCCAGAGCTCCTGCATCCTGGCCCAACACGCAAACCATTATACTGCACTGCTCTTCATGGAATTAATCCACAAATCGCGCGCTGGTCCTATGTCTCTTGGGGTTTCACAAAGTATTCAAACAGTTTTCGAGCAGGGAATTAAACAGCCCCGTTTGAGTCCCTGAGCGGCTTTCTTTCAGTTCTTGTATATTTTGAATAATTCTGGTGGCGAGGCAGCCAGGCCAGATGGCCTTGCAGAGTTCCCTTGGCAACATTTGAGCAACTGCGTCAGAAGGGCCGTGAGTGCGCCTCCCGGCCCCAGCGTGGGCCATCTGATGACGACGCACTGTGGGTCGAAATCAGCCTCCATCGAGCCTTCCTCAGAGGGAAGCCGCATGAGAGCCAGGCTTTCTTGTGACCGAGAGACGGCTGACCAGGTTATTCTCTGACGGCTGCCCATGGAACCCTCTTCTCTCTTATCTGGAGTAGAACAGTGCTCTTTCTCTCATTTCTATCTTGCTCTTTTTCACAAAGGGCCCAAGCAGCTAACAAAACACAACGTATCTCTTAACCAGCATTAAAACCATGACCAGCATTAAAATCCCACATATATAGTGAATTACAAGATAACCATCAACACAGTCTGCTGGTCAAAAAGCGTGCGCGCGCACACACACGCACACACACACACACTCCTGCACCCGCAAGCCTGAAGAAAAATCTTAAGTCTTTGATCAATGAAAGCAGCATGGAGACAGCGAAATCTCTGCCAGAAGAGAGTTCCACAGCTGGGGGAAAGGGCCCTGCCAGATGTGGTAGCTGCTCGGACCACATCCTGGGCCACATGTGCAAAGCCCACCCAATGGATCTTAAATAATGAGATGATCTGTATTGTGCGCAAGCATCGGGCGACATGGCTTCAATCCTGAGAACGGCTTGGGCCAATGAGAAGAGTCCCAGAACCCCCCAGACTCGTTAGTCACCCCTCCCTTGGTGGTCTTTAGTGGCAACTCGAGTAAAGCTCTAGGAGCTTCTGTGGACCAGCAGACTTAAGAAAAGGGGTGGTCAGCTTCTTCCAAACCAATTTGCAAGATTGTTGTTAATTGCAAAGTCGTGTCCGACCCATCGCAGCCCCATGGACAACCTTCCTCCAGGCCTTCCTGCCCTCCAGCATCCCCCAGAGTCCACCCAAGCTCACACCAACTGCCCCAGTGACCCCATCCAGCCACCTCATCCTCTGCCGTCCCCTCCTTCTTTTGCCATCAATTGTTCCCAGCATTAGGCTCTTCTCCAGTGAGTCCTTCCTTCTCATTAGGTGGCCAAAGTATTTGAGCTTCATCTTCAGGATCTGGCCTTCTAAGGAGCAGTCAGGGTTGATCTCCTCTAGGACTGACCGGTTTGATCGCCTTGCAGTCCAAGGGACTCGCAGGAATCTCCTCCAGCACCACAATTCAAAGGCCTCAATCCTTTGGCGCTCAGCCTTCCTTCTGGTCCAGCTTTCACAGCCATACATTTGCAAGATTGTACCCCTTTGTTATGTTTTTGATGGTATGTATGCCACTGTTCCACCCCTTCTTTCTCTGCTTTTATCCCTCCTCTTCAAAGGAGGAGAAAATGAAAATGGCAGCGGTTCAGTCCAGGGTCGTGACCTGTTTGTCAAGGGATAGGCTGTGATTGGGACTTAATTGAGAAAGACGGCAGTTTGGAGTTTCTGGCTGAGGGACAAAGAGACTTCAGTGGATTTAAGCCCTCAGCCAGTGCATTAAGTTGAATTGGCTAGACAGCATAGTGCATTTATTATGGACATCTATGCTTTAATTATGCATAATTGGAGTGAGGCATTCCTGAAGTCTGGAGCCCTTCCCCACCTCGACCTCCTCCTTTGGGGTGCAGAACATCCCCCCGCAGGCCTTCCTGGGCTATCCAGGCTGGATCACGGAGCCATCAGCTCCTCTGGAGGCGCAAGCCTTGGGTGTTCCCCCAGGCGAACAGTGCCTAGGTGACCCTCAGACTGGAGATAACTGTTTGGACACGTTTGTGTGTGTGTGTGTGTGTGTGTGTGTGTGTGTGTGTCAGGGGCTCCACTGGTGCCAGGAACCGCAGCTGGGAACGGTCGAGTCCACTCTTCGTCCCGGGAGAGGCCAGGATTCCTTACCTGGGCAGCACGAAGTGGCCCACGGGGGGCCGGGGGGCAGTGGCATAGCAGGGTGCGTGTGGAAGGGGGAATCCACCAGCTGTACATCGCTCCCAGCAGTGTCTCTGCCAATGACGGCAGACTTGGAAGGCCCTCCTTCGGCTAGCCTCATTCTCAGGGATGTTTCTCCACTTTCAGACCCCGATGAAGAAGACGCAGCTGCTGATTGGCCAGGCAGGGGCATCCTTTGCCAACGCAGTGAGTATCCCCATAAGTCCACTTTCTGGGGAGAGGATACAGGCCCTTCCGTGTCATACACTCCCTAATCCTCACGCAGCGTAATCCATCACAGAAGGTGGAGCTGCATTTGCTTGGCAGGAGGCCCTGAAATGGCCAGGAGGGGGGAAGGGTTCTACAGCATCCATGGATGCAAGGAGCAACTTGAGTCTTTCCGTGTAAACGTGCATTGGATTGGGCCCTATCTTTATCTTTAAGATGCCACAAAATTCTTTGCGGTTTTTGCTGCTGCAAGCTAATTCAACTTCCTCTGGAAACCATTACTGTGGATTTCCTAAGCTCAGCCACAATTCTTTGGGGACTTAGATGGGAGCATCCTTTATTGAACCGAGTGTAATTTACTTCTGGCCTAACTTGTCCAGGATCCTCCTGGCTGTTATGTGCCATTGATAAGAAGTTCTTTTTTCCCTGAGCCATGTTCCAAATTGGCTTTATTGGCTGACCCCACATTTTATGAGAGACAGAAAAATGCCTCCTTTCCCTTCTCTCTGTGCTGAACATCCTTTCCTAACCAGTAAGCTTGTTTTCTGTTCCTTTTTTTTCACCTCTCCAAACTAAAAGGCTCAGTCTTGAGGCTAGGGGTGAGAAAACCTTCCAAATATTGTTGGACTACAACTTCCATCATCCCCAGCCATTGGCTGTACCAGCTGGGGGTAATGGGACGTGGTGGAAGGGCAATGGTTTTGCCTATGACAGCCGTGTTGGTTCTGGGGAGACACTTGGGGTGTGGAGAAAGCAATGCTGTGTGGAAGGGAAGGAAGGGCTCAGCACTGACCCGTCTCCGCCTTCCCTCAGTTTGCAGTCACTCCTTTGTGCTGCCCGAGCCGCAGTAGCATCCTCACCGGGAGTTACCCTCACAACCACCTGGTGAGAAACAACTCCTTGGAGGGGAACTGCAGCAGCCCTGCCTGGCAGAAGTTTCAGGAGCCCTACACCTTCCCAGTTTACCTGCAGAAGCAAGGCTACCAGACTTTCTTTGCCGGCAAGTATCTCAACCAGGTAAGGAACCTGCCTGAGATGCATCCTTCTTCCTGCCCAGATTTAAGAGGCGTGTCTTCCAGTACCGCCCCCTTCAGAAACAGTAGGTGGCGAGGCCTTCTTTGTGGTTGCTCCCAGGATCCAGACCTTGCCACCTAGGAGCCCTCTCCCGCAGCGTCCTCCTGCCAGCAGGCAGAGGTGAATAATTTCAGAAGGCTTTTGGCTTGTCAGCAGGTCGCTTTGGTGCCGCTCTGTTGTCGCCGTGCTTTTAACGCCTCTGCTTTAGGATTGTTTTAATCAATTGCTTACTTCAAATGCGGTTTTTATTCTTGCTGTCTGTCTGCACTGCCATTTTCTTGGTGGAAAGGCAGTAGGGATATACATCAAATAAGTGCAGGCAGTTGGCCAGATATTTACTTACAGGAACTGATATGCCACCTTTCAGGCTACAACTCCTACCACAGTGGCTTGCAAGTGAGGTCAAATTACAGAATCACAGTAAACCGTATAAACAAATGCACTAGCGAACATGGGCTCAAGGATCTCTGCTGTGGGGTGGCTGGGGCGAGGCGAGGGCAGCTGGGGCAGGACGGGGTGCCGCCGTCTCTACTGGCCCCCTCTGCGTTGGGAGGTACAACCGAGACCGGGGACCTGCGTTCTGGCCCTGCTCTTCCGATCCCACGTGAGCTTGTAGCGCTTAACCAGCTTTCTGCCTCTTTCACAGTATGGAGACCCCAAGGCAGGCGGCGTTCAGCACGTCCCCATGGGCTGGACCTACTGGCTAGGCCTGGTGAGTGCATGACCCCCCCACCCCCCGCCATGGGATTTTGTTTGGCGATCGAGTTCGGAAAAGTAAAATGTAACAGAAACAACATACATGACAAGAGAACAAGATCACTAAGCACACAAAGAAATTCATTCAGTATAATTTTCTGCTGATAAGTTTGTGAAACCTCTACCGTAAATTAGAGCTGAATACCTACATGAAATGAATGAAAATACAAGTTAGAGAGAATATAAACAGTGAATGCATGATTCCGTTATTTTGGGCATTACCCAGAGAAAATTGTACTTGATTGGAATTTGATCGCATGTCTGAGGAGCTTCAGCGCAGGAAATAAACAGAAAGTGTGGTGTAATTATTGCTTTCTGGAAATTCGGATTTTTTGCTTGCTGCACTTGCTGATTAGGTTCATGCAGCCGTAGTCTCCCAGATTTTATCAACCAGCTGTTATTTCATTGGCTACTTTGGAATCTTCCAGTTATGTGACTTTGGAGCAGAGTACAGTTGCTGAGACAGAGAAACAGTGCGAGTCAGAAGGGGTCTCCCGGGCCATCTAGTCTGACCCCCAGCTCCAGTTGGAGAAGGCCTTTGGGCAAGTATCAGGGTCATGAGATTTGCAAACAAAAAGAAGCATCACTTTTGGCCTTTGCAGTATGCTAACGTGGAGAAAAGACTGCGAGAATTCCAAAACTCCTGCATGGTTGCTTTTCTCCCCTTTTTCTAAGCCCACAATGGACTGGGTGATCCATTGAGACCCATGGGCAAACCCTGCCCCTCCAAGTGTTAGATTCCAACTCTCATCAGCCCCAGCCAAAGGGGCTAATGGTCAGGGGTGAGGAGGAGTGCTGTAGCCCGAAGGCAACTGGTTGCCAGCTCCTGTAGGGTGCCGAGCCACGGCATGGAAATGCCCGCTCCGCGCCTGCATTTGCCACGGGGACCCTTGTGCAGTCTTCGGCTGACAGATGATAGTTCGCAGGGCCTGCTTCACATGGGCTTTCTAGAGAGGGAAAATGCAGCTATGTATTTTGAGAACCTGGAGGGAGTGCAAAAATGGGAAAAGCTGGATTTGAAAGAAAAGCAGTCAAGTTCCACTGGAATATCGCTCCACGTGGGACACAGTTGTCCTCTTTGAGTGTAAGAAGTGCTGTGCAGGATCAGGCCAAAAGCCTCGCTGGTCTTTGTTCCCACAATGTGTCTCTGGGGCCACGGATGGAGGAGGACGCCTTCCCCACCGCTCCTGCCCAGTCCTTCGAGTTGCTCGTGCCGTGGACTGAACTGGGAAGCTTTGCACCTGAACCAAAGGTTCTTCGGTAGGAAGCCCATTAAGGCACCAACCTGTCTCAGGTTGGCCCTCAGAGTCATGATCCAGGCCGCTCAGAGCATCTGTGCTGGGTCTAAAATGAAGCCTCGTTCTCCACACTCTTTCCAGGTGGGGAATTCCAAGTATTACAATTACACCCTTTCGGCCAACGGGCGCGAGGAGAAACACGGGGCGCTGTACGAAGAGGACTATCTCACCGACCTCATTGTGAGTGCCCACCTCGTCTCCCTTCCCGCTGAGCCAGCCACCTCTGTGCACTCCCAAGTAGCGAGACCCCTTTGATGCCCTGAAGGAAATCTCCTTTTACCTTCTCAAGTTTGTTTTCCTTTTGTATAGCCAGTTAGCTTGAATACACGGCTGTTTCTCATTGGCTTGGTCTTCTGTCTGTCAGGGGAAGGAGAGTCTCTGTCATTCAGGTCTTCCTTTAAGGGAAGGATTTTAAGGGGATTCTTTTAATTCCCCCACATTGCTCTCTGGCGCTCACATCTTCCACCATTTGGGAGAGAACTTCCAAAGCAACCAGAGACCTTCACCTTGGCTTCCGCACCCCTCCTGGCCCTTTCCCCAGCCATTCTGTGCAGACAGCCTTTGTCAGCCTCTGCGTGTTTGCCTACAACTCCCAGCATCCTTAACCAACACAGCCCTTGAGTATGCCAACTGGGAATGCTGGAAAGGATAGTCCAATCCAGCCTGAAGGGCTGGAGAAGGTTGCTGTAAGAGGAGGATTTCAGGGGAAAGAGAGTGCAAGAGAACGCAGTGGAAGCTTTAAACGCCGTGGAAAATGGGGGTGACTCACCTGTTCACACACAGTTCTATGGAATGCTTGAAATATTTCTTGCTATTATTATTCATCTGGAAGAAAGAAACACATCCTTCTGCCCACACTGGAAACTAGAACTGAATCATGAACTGGAAACATAAAATCCCATGCAGCTTGCTTTGCAAGCTGACACCATCCAAATCAGTAGGACTTAGGAGGAGAGTCCAGGTGTGAATATGAATTGTTCTGTTATTTCTTTTCCGAAAGCCCAAAATAGGAGCCTGAGCCCGCCCCCGCCCTCGCCCCCCCCCCGTGCATGCGGTCCCTCTCGTTCCCTGCCACGTGGTGGAGCTGCTTTCCCATCTCTCCCGAGCAGCATCTCTGTGCCTCTCCCCACACGCCCTTCTCCTTGCTGCAGACCAACCGGAGCCTGGCATTCCTGCAAAAGTTCTCTCGCACACCCTTCCTCATCGTGCTGTCCCCTCCTGCCGCCCACTCCCCGTGGACCGCGGCCCCTCACTACAAGTCGGCCTACCGCACCATAACAGCGCCACGCGATGGGAGCTTCAACGTCCACGGGAAGGTGAGTGAGTGCCCAAGATCTAAGGTGACCAGGTGTAGACAGGAGAGCGCCCACCTGGGGGCATGTTGCTCTGCTCTCCCAGCCTCTGCACGGATTCCTCACTGTTTTCCAGGTGTACCGCAAAAGGTTAGTTATGCCCTTTGGCGCAGGTGTGCCTTCTGGGGGTTCCTCACGTGGCCACACACCTTCTCCTGCCCTTACCCCCTTTCTCTCAGGCTTGGCAGAGGTTTTTACCCATTCTAAAAAGCTGACGTGTCCCTTAAGGCCCCTCTAAAGCTAAACATGAAAATATGCTGGTGGTTAGCCCTTCCTTCTGCTGGAAAGTGGCTGCTGAGAACTCTTCCAACACTGAATTTGGCCTTTGGGCCAAAAAGGAATCCTCACCCCTCTCTGTAAAGCAGCCTTCCCAAACTTGCTGCCTTCAGAATGCATTGGACTACAACACCCACTATCCACCAGCCAATGCTGGGAGGTGTAAGAATGCATCTGAGGGGCACCAGGGGGAAGAAGGCTGACTGCACGGGCCCCACATTCTTCCAGGCGTCCCTTGAGCCCCCCTGGAGGTGGTCCTCAAAATGCCTTCTAAGTTTCCAGAGCTGTCGTCAAAAGAACGCCTCCCAGATGTGTTGGAAGCACAACTCCCATCAGCCCCTGCAGGATCTCGGGGAAAGGTGGCTGTACATCTGCAATGGCACACATCTTCCAGAGTAATCAGACTGTCCCATTTTTAGTGTACATTTTGGCAACGCTTCACACCACCTTTTCCTAAAGGCAAGGGAATGCGCCACAGCGAGGATCCAAAGAGAAATCAGGCCACCACTGTGGCTGCGCAGCCTGCAGTCCGCGGGAGCTCACGGACCCCCTCCGGGCTCAGCCCGCTTTCCGCGAGGCCGGGTGCGAGAGGAAGGCCGCGAACGCGAGTGGGGCGGATTCCACGGAGTGTTGTCCTTCCCCGCGGTGGACTGTGGCTCTTCCTTTGGCAGGACAAGCACTGGCTGTTGAGGCAAGCGAAGACGCCCATGTCCAACACGTCCATTCAGTTCCTGGACAACGTGTTCAAGGCCCGGTAAGACGGCACCTCAGCCCAGCGGGGCTTGTCTGAGCCATTTTTCCGGAGCAGCTTCCTAGCCAAGGGCCAGAAAAAGTTTGTGGCCTCTTTTTAGCAGAAGTAATTGGGAAGGACGGAAGAAGCCCATGGAAGCAACCGGGTTGAGATGTAGCATGTCTTTTCTCTACAGGGCTGACCCAAAATCTTGAGTGGGCACCAACTTTCCTGAGTGGGGAAAAACTGGGATTGGAAGAAATTCAAAGCAGGCAGCTCAGGATGCAAGACTTTATTCCTGCCAGCCAAGTCCAGCCCCGGCATGCAATCTGGGGTTCTCCGGGTGAACACACCCCCTTCTCCTAGCTCCGCCCTCTTTTCCTGACTGTCAGTGGCTCTCTAGCTTTTGTGGGTGCCCAGTCCCTCCCCCCCCCCCCTTGAAGGACTGGCTTACAAGACTCCCAAATAAATAAATAAATAAATGCCTCCCCTAAGACTTAGCGACTGGCAGTAAGAGCTGTAAGTCAAACGATACTGGCATTTTCTGTATTTTGGCCGTGCCTGCTTTGCCTTCAGTGCCACCCTCTTTCGCATTCCACTTCCTCCCAGAAGTGAATGTTGGCCTCCAGGCCGAAACAGGTTCAGTATCCCATTTTCGCTCCTCCCGCCACCCACCTCTGCTTGCAGGTGGCAGACGCTGCTTTCTGTGGACGACATGGTGGAGAAGGTGCTGGATGAACTGAAGGCGCTCGACCTGCTGGGCAGCACGTATGTGTTCTACACGTCAGATCATGGTTACCACACAGGTGAGGCTGTCGGACGCCACCTGCCGTCAGGAGGCTGCGGGGCCGGGGCCAGCCGAGTGGAAGAGGGTTTGGGGGAGGCCTTTCCCCCTGCCTGTTCCACAGGGCAGCTGGCGGGACGTGCTTCAGCCAGGTAGTTCAGTCGGCTTCTTCTGATGTTCACAGTAGCCACCGAATCTGACTCCAGATATACTTCTCGTAGGCCAGACGGCAGTTGGTGGATTGTGGAGTTCTAGCGAAAGATAACATGGAGCATATATGTTGCCCTGAGGTTCCTAGAGGGAGGGGGAGATTAAAATCTCAAACAAATCCTTGTTTAATTTGCCCTTTCCTAGCCTTTCCTTCAGTAGATTCCAAGGCAACATACAGGCATAAGAACTCAAAATTACAAGCACCATGCCATAAAAACAAAACAATGAGCCAGTAGAACAATAAAATGGAGGGACGATAACAATAAGTCTATCAAGCCAGCATAAGCAACGGAATAAGGTAAAATGGCTGGGCAACCATCATTTTTACTTGGCTCTCTAGCCACAAAGGCTCGGGGTAGTTTGCAAAAATCAATAACAGAACAGACCTTACCCACTGAATTGTAATCCAAAAGACATGGCACAAAAGAAGAGGGGTTGGGAGGGAGGAGGAAAAAGGCAGGTGAAGGCAGGAGTTTCCAGAGCTTCAGGAGATAACTTTTGTAGTTAAGGTCTGTTTCCTTTTGGACCTGAAAATTTACAGCAGCAACTATATTTTTTTATTTTATTTTATTTATTTTATTTTATTTTTTGCTCACCCAGGTCAGTTTTCGCTGCCCATTGACAAGCGGCAGCTGTATGAGTTTGACATCCGGGTGCCACTGCTAGTGCGGGGACCAGGCATCAAACCAAATCAGACTTACCTGGTAGGTGCTTGAATTTTCCTTCTGCATTAGGAACACCCTGGGGGTCTAGAGATGTCACAAAATCCAGGCCTGATGCAAATTACTTTGGATTTCTGTCCATTCAACCCACGAACCACCATCATCTTCAGTTGCTTGGATTCTGTGGACTTTTGGACTGTTTTTTACTGTCCGGAACTGCACACAAATTTAGCCATATGAAAATACACCAGGTGCCGCAAATATATAAGCCCCTTTTAAAAACGAAGTCTCAGTCTATACACCTCTGATCTTTCTTCTGCCTCTCGAGTTATGCTCATTCTTTCTGCTCTGTGCTCATTGATTGTATGCTGAGCTAAGAAAGCTGCATAAAATAGCACATACCAGCCAAAATTATGTTAATCACAGCAAATTCAGTGTGGACTTTCCTGGTTTCAAAGCAGAATGGATGGTGCCTGACAATCTACGAAACAGGCACAGAAAAGATGCAGCAAAACGCATGTATCTGCGGTTAGAACTGTAGGTTTTCTCATCATGACAATAACTTAGGAACTGGAATTTTTCAGGAAGAAGAAGTGGGAGGAGCGGGCAGCTTTAGGGTTCAGATGTGCACACAAACAGCCCATGGTTTGACCAGACCACGGTGCCTGTCTGGAACTACCCGGAGAATCAACATTCAATTAAAGTAATGTCAGGGAGACTGCTAGGTTACAGCACTTCTTTCCGACATTGTGGGAGGGCCTTTAGTTTTGTCTGGTCATTAGGAGAAGCCATGCGCACGATGGTTGCTCTGGTCCGCTTTGCTAATGCTCCTGCGCTCTGCCCCCTTCTCAGGAGCCCGTCCTCAATATCGATCTGGGACCAACCTTCCTGGACATCGCAGGACTCAACATGTCTCAGAGCCCCATGGATGGCCAGTCTTTCTTGCCCCTGTTGGTAATGAGCTGCTCTGCCTACGCGGACGGACTTGTGGGGAGCCTGATTTAAAAAAAAAAAAAAAACTTCTTGGGACACCCTTAGAGAAGTAATACTCTGTGTCAGGTCCCCCTCCCCAGATATTTTGGCCTGTCAGGGATTCCTGTCAGGGATTCTTTTGACAACAGCTTCTGGCCTTAGGAACCTTTTGCCCAGAACACCTCCAAGAATCCTGCATGCCTTGCAGAGGGTTCTTGGGCCCGTTTTAGGATGCAGATGCCATTCTCGGGGGGGTTTCAGCTGGACCTCCTAGGGAGAGTGAGTGCATCCTTTAGAACGAGGTGCAAAAGCAATCTTTTGGGATTGCTCTTGTTGGCTTAGCCTCTGCTCGCAGCTGAACTCCAAAATGAGCGCGCACATTAATATTCCCCAGTGTTGGCCTGCAGCTGCCGCAGGGGAAGCTGCCCCCGGGGGAGATCCGACGAGCATGACCGGTGTTCTTCAGCCAGGAGCTCCTGATGGCTGGCATTAGGGCCGGCCCCGTCTGCGGAGGGCCCCCATTTCCAGCCAGAGCCCTCCAGCCGTCTCGGGCATCCTGGAATTCTCTGCCACATACTCGGAAACTTCTGCTGTGATGCGCCGCTGCAGCAGGCAGTAGCTGAGGCAGCGCTGGGTCTTTGAGCAGCTCCGTTCCCGTGGGTGCCCATTGCAGTTTCCTGGAGCAGAGTGCGATTCCTTCTGCCCTGGATTAAATGTCTCATGGGAGCTCTGGAGGCTGTGGCGGAGAGGCGGGGCGGTGTCCCGGGGAGGCGGCTTCTCGAACTGCATTTCCTTCGCTCCAGGTGAACAAAGAACAGCGCGACGGCTGGCGATCGGATTTCCTGGTGGAGTACACCGGGGAAGGGTGCACGGGCAAGGACCCCCAGTGTCCCACCTTGGGGCCAGGAGTCTCGGTGAGCGCTTGCGCCTGGGGAATCTGGACACCAGCAGCCACAGCTGGGTGTACTCTGGGCATGTTGGACTATTGTGCAGCAGGAAAAGCGTGACTTTGCCGTCCAGATAAACTTTGGCAGGTCAACCCAGCTTTGCTTTGTTTGGAGCGCCATCATCGTGGTAGACGAAATCAGTGTAAGTCTCGGTCTATCCATGTTGGAGCAGGAAAAAGCCTACAATTCCCAGCATGCTCCATTCGCCACCTCCTGGAATCAGAACCCTTCAAGTGGACCGTGGCAGCCTTCACCAATTTGGTGTCCTTCCAAATACCACAGAATCATGTAGTTTGCAATACGTTGCCAGGTCAAACCTCCTGCTTAATGCAGGGCTCAAGTCACCCTCCCAGATTTCAACCCGGCCTGACCCCGCTTAGCTTCCAAGATTAGGCGGGATCAGGCCCTTCAGGCTGGGCTGCAAGGCCTCTTACCTCCAGCTCATGGCCATGCTGGCTGGGAATGAGTGGAGTTGTAGCCCATCGCCTCGGAGAGTGTTACGTTGGGGTGCATTTCTCTCCCGAGTGGAAGGTTCAAGCACTCCAACCCTAGGGAATAAGAGTGTCGTTTTTCGGTGGAGGGTGTCAGATCCTAGGCATGCTTCCGAACAAGGATGCTGGAGGGACCCAGCGGTATGGAGAGATGGGAAAGCAGAGGGAGAAGACAGCTGAAGAAGGGAGGCAGTGGCACACGGATGCACAATCACTGTATGGCTGTTTCTGGCTACGCTGAAGTGACCCACAGGGTCCTGCAGCCAACAGGGCAGCTACGAAACAGGGAGAATTCGGCATGCCGTAGTGCGACGTGCGCTGTCAAGCGGAAACACCGGGTGCCGTTCTTATTATTTATTTATTTGGGATTCTCTATTCGCATAAGCCTCGGAGAGGCTTCCAACAAATAAATAACAATACAGTGCATAAAAACCTGGAAACATCCAGGCAATAATTTAAAACCGATAAATAAGTTCTTCAGGCTGAAAGTGTGCAGGGTTCAGGGCCGAGGAGCTGTGCCAGCACCTTCAAAGCCCGTCCTCCCTAGGGAGGGCCAAACAGTTCCTGCCGGCAACCCTGCAGAGCCGCTTCTCGTCCTTCTCGGCGCTACTGGGCTAAGTGGGCGAAGGGCCCGACTCCAAACCCAGTGCCCCCCTCACTGGCTGGGGGAAGGGGGGCCCTTCTGCGGTTGGGGCTGCGAGTTGCCCGACCTGCTCATTTATCCAGATAGTTTTTGAGTCCAGTGTTCGCTCGGCCAATACAATCCTTGCTAGGATGCGAGTGAGCGGCGCGTAACACAAGAGGAAAGCTTTGGATCGCTCTCACGGAGCGGGTGAAGTGCCAGGCCACGGGGTGGGAGCCCCTGGCTCGAATCTTCGCTCAGCCGTGAAGCTCACCCAATGGCCGTGCCCTAGGATTATTCTTACCCTAACCGACCTTGCAGGGTTGTTGTGAACATAAAGTGAGGTGTGGGGGAAGGACCATGGCGAAATGGGGCAATGAAAATGCAGTGCCTCCCACCTTATAATGTATTGTAGGAGACGTCCTATAGGGGATGGCATAGAAATGCTTTTAATAAGCAAACAAGCAAGGTTTCCCTCTGCAAAGAGGCTGCCTCGTGCAGAGGGAAAACACAGTTCCACACTTGCAGTGTCCTGAATGGAACCCTCCGGCCTCCCGTTTCCCGTTATTCCACCGAGGAGAGTTTTGCCCTCGGGCTTCCTGGCCTAACATTTGCCTAGGCAAATGGCTCTTTTCTCCCTTTGCCTCATTTCCATAAAGGCCCGGGCCGCGGCCCACGTGCCCCAGAGCCGAGGGGAGCCATTTCGGGGGCCTCTGCCATGCCACCAACTTGCGCTCTCGCTTTCCACACACCCTTGGTCCAATCTGTGGCCCAGCCAAGGTTATCGGCTCCCAGTTGCGTGATAAAACAACCCCTTGGCCTGGAACGCTGCGTGGAAGCGGCCACATCCAATCTCTTTCTGACCCAGACCAGCTTCCGAAGGGTTTAGGGATCAGGGGCCGAAGCTTGTGTCCTACGGGAACCCGCAACAACAACTTGCAGCGTGGAGCAATCCTGTTCCGGCTCCAGCCCCCCAGCAGCCGCTCCACATTCTTTGAGCAGGTTTCCCAGGGCAGTTTCTTCTCCTGAATTCCCTTCTGCATTCTGCCCCCGTTGTTTGTCGGTGGCCCATCTTGGCCCCCACCCTGTTGGAAGGCAGCGGCAGAGTTCGCTCTTTCAGGGCAGGGCTTGGTAAGAGGCGCGACCCAAGTGACGCTGCTCCCTTCTCCCGCTTCCTCTCCGCCTTTGGCAGCAATGCTTCCCCGACTGCGTCTGCGAGGACGCCTTCAACAACACGTACGCCTGCGTGCGCACGCTGCGTCCCCACGACTTTCAGTACTGTGAATTTGCGGACACCCAGGTAAGCCGGACACCTTTCTGCCCCCTCCCCACTCCAGATGCAGGCAGGTGGGGGAAGCCGGCACATTTCCCCTGCCTGGGAGCAGGAAGCGGTGGGCCACCGAGGGGCACTGCAACAAGACAGCCCCACTCACACCGATTTCGTTTGCAGAAGAGCTGCTGCACCGGGCAAAACCTCTTGGTCATATTTTGTGGTGCATGTAATTGTGCGGGGAGCAGTTGTGCCTGATTTGCCTGCCCTTTGACCCGCATTGACCCGAAGGAGAGGCCAGGGATGCATGTCCAGCTGGGGTCATGGGAGGGGAGGAGAAGGCCCGGGAGCGCTCCTCATTTTGGGCCCTGGCGGGCCTCTCGCACTTCAGCTGCCAGAATTCAGATGCTCCGAAATGCCCCCCCTTTCCCTGCACGTGTGCCTTTTGTAGTCGGCCAGCTGGCCCAGCCTTCTGTCCCCAGAGGCAGATGCTTGATGCTTGGTGGAGAGCCCTTTCATCCCGCCCTCAGCCAAAGGGCTGCAGCTCAGCTTCCTGTGATCAGTTGTTAAGGATTTCCCAGCTTCCACCTCTCCCCTCGCTTCTCTTTTGCAGAATTTTGTGGAATTCTACAACCTGACATCAGACCCACACCAGCTGCTCAACGTGGCCAAGTCCGTGGACCCTTCACTGCTGGAGCAGATGAATCAGAGGCTGATCAAGTTCCAGGCCTGTGCTGGGGTCAGCTGCCACTTCTGACGGCCCCGATGCCTCTCTGACCATGCCAAGAACTCAGAAAGCCCAGCTCTGGGTCTCCTCGCTTTCTCTCTCTCTCTCTCGGTCTAGTTGCATCGTTCCTCTTTTCTCCACCGTAAGCCAGTCTGGGGCTGATTTTCCATTCCTGATCTTTCCCTGGTCCCTGACTAACCTTGCCGGAGAGTTTGCTGGCAGAGGAGTGGCAGGGAAATCTGGATGGGAAGCCAAGTCTCTGCCCCCTACCCCCGTCAGAATGGCAGGCGTCAAGTTCCCACCCTCTTTTTGCAAGTCGGTCTTTGCCACTCAGAAAGGGGTAAGAGGCAGATCTGGCCTGGAAGCAAGAAGCTGCTGACTCCAACCCGGAGGCAGGCGAGGGGAGGCAGAAGGCCGGCATCCACTGGGGGTCAGGCAAGAGTTTTGACTCCTTCGGTTTCGCAGTGGCAGTAACCAAACAGGGCTTGATTTTTGCCCGGGAGGTCTGTGCACTCAGTTCTGGTCCTCTGACCCAAGTCCCAGGGCCCGGAGCCCTTTGGTTCTGAATGCACTTCTTCTGCCTCGGGCACCCTTGGTGGCACTCAGGGTTGTGGCGGTGGAAATAACAATCACCCGAACGAAGTTGTTCCCTCAAGTGTGAAGTCTGCACCCTGCTGCCTTAAGAGGGCAGGTGGCAATGGGCGAACTGTTCTCTCCCCCCTGCTCTGCCTTGGGGGTGGGCAGGATTTGCTTCCCCCTGTAGAGAGCAACCCTGTGGCCCCTGGACATCGTTTGAGGGGCCCTGGGATCCCTCAATTTCCCAGTTTGGAGGCTGGAAACAGCTCTGCCCTCGGAGCTTGGGATCTGCGCTTCAGTCCCTTTACCAGCCCTGCAGCCGGTGCAGAAAGAACTGGACTGGCTGCTTCTACGAGGTTGGGAAATGGGCCCCGGAGAAGGCATGAAGAGGCCTCCTTTGGGGACAGGGAGAGGAGGCGGCTGGGGCTGCCAGGCAATGAGGCGTCCTGGGGGCCTCCAGCCCCCTTCCCCCTCCTAGAGGAAAGCAGCCCCCTGAATTGCAGAAGGGGAGGTGGCTCTCATCTGGACGCTCGTTAAGCTCTGGGTTTCGGGGCTTAGGGTCACCACGGGCACGGTCTGTGCAGTTGCACCCTTCGTCACTGTTCAGTCCTCCCCTTCCTTGCCGAGACCAGGGAGGCTACAGCCCTGCTGTGACTTTAACTCCTGTGCACTTAGAAATGTTTCTTACGTTCACTGTCCCCAGTGCATGGAGGCTCCGGCAGCAGACGTGTTGTCTGAACTGTGCCCTTGCACTGTTACGCTGTGAAAGGAAGTTGAATAAAGGACCTGTTTATTAGAAAGGCGCTCGTGTCCTCTGTTTACCTACAAGAAATGCTACTTCTCTCCCTTGGGCTGGTTTAGGAAATCCCCAGGCCCAAGTTTTGCCTGATTCCAGGAAGAGACCAAGAGGGGAAATGGTGTTTGGGGAACGCGCAGGAGTCCATCTGGGCCGGGGTGCCTTCCTCCTTTTTCTTCCGAACTCGAAGCAGCTCACATTGTTCTCCTCTTGCCGCTCCCAGCCTTATCCCCACAACAACAACCCTGTGGGGTAGGTTGGGCTGGAGTCTTTGACTGGCCCAAAGTCACCCAGTTGGCTCCATGGCCACGTGAGGACAAGAACCCTGGTCGCCTGAGTGCCAGTTGCGTGCCTAACCGGGACACCACACCGGCTCGTGTTAACGTCTTGGTTGAAGAGGTGCAGGGAATGCTGGTCAGGTGTGCAGGTGGCACAACAGGGGGTGGGAGGGCTAATACCCCGGAAGGCAGGTGAGTGATCGCGATGGGCTGGAGCACTGGGCAGAAAGCAACAGAAGGGAACGCACGGGGACGAAGGCCACGTCCCACACCCAGGAAAGGGACGGCAGTTACAAGACGGGAGACACTTGGCTCAGCAATACTGCGAACAAGAAGGTTCTTGGAAGTGTTGTAGATCACAAGCTGAATAGGAGTCAACCATGTGATGTAGCTGCAAAAAACGGCTAATGCTATTTTGGGCTGCGTGAATAGGACCATCACATCCTAATCCTGTGAAGTGCTAGTTCCCCTTTACTCTGCGCCTCATCCGGAGTCCTGTGCCCGGTTCTGGGCACCACAGTTGAAGAAAGGTGCAGGCAAGCTGGGAAGAGCTCAGGGGAGGGCAGCAAGGACGATCCGGGACTGGAAACAAAGCCCTCCCAGGAGAGGCTGAAAGAACTGGGCATGCTGAGCCTGGAGAAGAGAAGACCGAGGGGAGAGATGACTGCAAGTATTTGAAGGGCTGTCACAAAGAGGAAGGCCAGGCTCTCTTCACAATCATCCTAGACTGCAGAACATGGAGTAAGAGGCTCAAGTTGCAGAAAGCTGGCTAAATACCAGGAAAATGCCATGATCGTTTGAGCAGTATGACAATGGCGTGCAAGACCATCCCACACCCTCCTCGATCCCCATCCCTTCCCACCTTCGCTATGCAAATCTTCACATGCAAATCCTGGGCAGAGGGGCATTTGCGCCTGGCCTGGGAAAGCATCTCTCGCCCTTTGCATGGCACCTGGGACCCAGCTAGGCAGCGATGCTCCGGGATGGTAAGTGTGCTGCCTTCTGCTCTAATTTTCAGTGTTTGTGGAAGAATCTGGAGAGGGAGAAACATTCCCAGACCACATGGCATAGGGGATCTTTCCAAAGTATAGGCTATCCAGATGTTTCAGAGTCGTGGGAAAACCTTGCTGTTAAAAAAAAAAAATGAACATGGGGAGGAGACAGAAAAACAAGCTATAGTGGTGTTTGTTTTTAGGGAGATTTTCAGTTATCTTTACAAATTGGGAAAGAAACGGGTGGAATAATTTGCATGCTTTTTCTTCTCATCTGGCTGCAGTAGGAAGATAATCTGCAGTGTTTCTTTAACATGTGGACTTTAGATTAGAAAAATGTGAATTGACTGCTGGTGGAAACACAGGACCTGAGAGAGAGAAAGAAAATGCACACTTCAAAGAATGCACATTTTCTTTCTTACGGAGGGACAGGGGTGACTCTATGCTCATGTTGGATCCCTAAATTAAATTATTGATCTCATTTATCAGTAAAATGAGAACAATAATTTCAATAAGGAATGGAAGAAATAACTATATCTTACAAAGAGGATGGGCTTCATGATTTCCAGAAATGTCACCATTCTTTCCTAAGACTTATGATTACATAGTTTTTAGAAATCATTTGTGGGGAGCAAAAGCTTGGTAACCATATATGAGCCACCTCTGGTGTATTTTAAAAGAAAATATTTCATAACCCAAAGCTGTTCAATTTTTCCAATAAAAGCATATGCTTGGAAAAATACATTTTCCACATCCCATTTTTTCAATTTTTAGAAACCTTCACACTCGTATGTGTTGTCAAATGGAGGTATTCCAGTATTTTCTGTATTATATTCCCATGCTTTAAAAAACGTTGGTGTCATCTGTTTGCTTCCCAAACCAAAGCGCCCACACCCGTCATTTTAAGAAAAAAATGAGAGAGAGAGAGAGAGAGAGAGAGAGAGAGTTACAGAGGAGGATTTTGCATTAGTTCTCACTCGAATTTGCCAATTCCTTTGCAGAACATGTTTGGGAAGAATAGGATGCCGTGAGTAGCCACGTTTGCTAGTTGTGGTTTGTTGCACCCAAATGCCAGCAAGGAAGCGGCTTTGCGCTGACGAGACGGGGAGAAAACAGCTGCAGCTGTTCCTGCAGTTGGGATGCGTGCCCCTTCCCTGGATTTAGCAAGCAGATTGTGCAGGAGAGACCGGTGGGGCTGCAAGGCCGCGCCGACTGAGTCAAAGCTCGCGTTTCCTGGGAGCAGGTCACCGAATCCCGGCCCTGGTGGGGTACTCAGCAGGAGGGTGGTTGGCTGGAGACCCGTTCTGGGGAGCACCCACGGAATGCCACTCCTGGAAGGCCACCAAACCCTAACCCTAACCCGATCCCTAACCCATATACAGAGGGCGCCAAAGAATGTGTGCACATTTTAAGAAAGGGAAAAACTGTATCAAGATCGTAATACTCAATATATCCCGATAACAAAAGATTATCACATCACATCTGACTTCTACAAGTCACATCTGACTTCTGCAACTGCAAGAGCTGCTCAAAGTGTCAGCGTCCAGACGCTTCCAATGACGGCCAACTCGCCTCCGCTTGCGTCACTGCGCATGCCAATTCCGTTTCTTCCCAAAGTGCCGCCTTCTTTTCAGTGGATGTCATACTTCCCATTGCTACCCTAATGCAATTTGACTTCAAAAAGTGATACATAGATAACATCTCTTAAATGTGTCTACATTTTTTGGCACCCTCTGTACTTGTCTGACTCCCTGGAAACTCTGTGGAACTTGTCTGATTCTTTTCCTGGGAAGAGACCCCCCCCCCAGCCAGCCCCCAGAGGAAAGGCAATAGAAAGCTGGCAGTCCACCTCCTGAACCCCCAAATTTGTCCTTGCTTTCTATCCTCCTTCAAGGTCCCAAGCCCCACCTGTGCCTCCAAGAGGACCAGGTAAGCAATACGAGTAAATGCTGGGATGGTCTTGGCGGGGGTCGCCTTGCAGAGCCCACTGGGGAAAATCCATCCTGGCCGGCAGCTGGCAGGAATTTCACCCAAGGCTCAGAGCACGTAGGTCATGCTGACGGGGCACCAGGTTGGGGAAGAACACGTCCTCTTAGGCCATCCTCCTGGCAGCGACTAAAACACACCCAGCAGCTACTCGGGGCTTTGCGAGCTGAGACAGACCCAGGGTGCAGCTTGGAGCTGGCCCCTCAGGAATACACCAGCCCCCTTCTCTGAATGTATTTTGTCGAAGTCTCTACAGCAGCCTAAATTACGTTGATGCACAACACCAAACATGTGGTGTTTAGGAGAAAGGGCCCAGGACTCAAGTGGAAGGAGCACAGGGTTGTCGGGAAGGAAAGCAGAGAGGGGAATCGCCTATCAGCGAATTCATGCATGGCCACTAAAGAGGAACCAAAGTGGGAGGGCATTCCTTTGCATAACATTTGCATCTGCATGATGTGGCTGCATACATGCAAATGGCTGTTTGTTTATTTAAAGGAGTACAACCTGCCTCAGGTCCAGAGGGTGAGTAAGCAGGTGATCAGTGCACCTGTTCGGACGCCCGTCCAGGCATTCAAGGTCCCGTTTTGCTCGCCCTTCTTCCTGTTTCTCAGCTGAAAGCCAAGCTTGGATGGGGCAGCCCACAGAGAATTCCCCTGACCGGATTGCAAATAGAGGACTGCCACCGAGCAGGCCACCAGGCACCTGTGCCTTCCCTGGTAGAAATTCTGGGTTCCAAGCCAATGATGCCACCTAAGAGCATCCCATGTCCCCAGCCTTGGAGTGCAGTGGCTTCTGGGGCTCACAAGCCAGGCCGGCCCACTTGCCTTGGACAAGTCGCAACTGACCGAATCCCTTTGTGTGTTTCAGTGATAACCCGGCTGGCGGTGAGTGACCTTCAGCCCCAGCGCTGGTCCTCCTTCCTTGTCCCCCTGTTCCCTTAGCCCTGGTGCCCCCCCCCGATGCCCCCGGGGCACACGGGCCCCTTGCTGCCTCCCAGCTACCTCGCGGCCTCCTAACCCTGCCCTGGTTTCTCCCAGGGACGTGCCTCCTGCTTTGGGGGCGGGGGTACCCGGTGCCCGACCATCCGGAAGACACGAGTCCGGCATTCGCTGCTGCCGTGTCTTCCCCACACCCTGGAGTCCTCCAGAGGGGCTGGATAACCACTCCTAGCATGGGGCAGGTGCTGGGAAGTGTAGTCCCAGAACTTTGGAGGGGGCAGGCTTGGGAGAAGGTGGCTTCCCTGGCTGCACCCCCTCCCGGGGGAGAAGGAGAGGACATGTGCCCTGAGCAAAGGGGCAAGCCCTGGCGGTGTCCCCTTGCTGCTCTCCTCTGAAACTGTCTGATACCAAGTCCCATCAGCCCCAGTCCGCTGGGGAGCAGCAGCTTAGGAAAGGGCTGTGGGCCGGGCTTTGCTCCGGCCCCTTTTCCCAGAGGGGGCCTTCTGCGTGCGCCCATCCCACAGCTGCAGCCCAGGGCAGTGGACCCGGCGGGGCCATGGAGGACTGCCTTACTGTGGTGCCACCTGGCCCAGTGTTTCCCACACGGGCGGGCAGCAGCACTTCCCTGAGCGCCCAGCCGCAGCTCATGTTCTTCCAGCCCTACTTGGCGAGGCGGAACCTGGGACCCTCAGGATGCAAACCGGTGCTGCAGGGCCCAACAGGAACGGAGGACAGGATGCGGCCTCCTTCCGAGCGAGGCCGTCAGTCCCTTTAGCCCATATCCTCTGCACTAGTCTCCCCAGCGCTCCC